ACATATAATTTTTACCCTCCAACTACCCTAACACTGACAAAGGTCTCATGAGTTACAAATATCATCTTTCCATGCAGGAATGTAAACAGTTCAACCTTAATGAGTCTCTTATAATTTTCTCTTTCTTGTTTACCTCTTCATGTTCCACTCGAGTCTTGTATTTGAAAATCAAATTTTCTATTCAACTCTGGTCTTTTCATCAAGAATGCTTGAAAATCCTCTATTTCATTGAATGACCATTTTCTTGGAGGTCTTTACAAAGAGTTTGGATGGCTAAGTGTGTCATAGTAAGGATTCCTTTCACATACAGATGAAAAATTTGAAGACTTCTGAGATCCCTTCTAATGTTATATTCTGTCATTCAGTACTTAGTACAGTGTCTGGCACGTAGTAGGTGCTTAATAAATATTGGTTGATTTATTGATTCTGTGAGAAATTAGGTGACCACTTTTTGGAATGTTTTAAAGGGATTCATGTTTCAGGCCCTGAGGTTCATTATTTCAAGGCCTAAGGTTCTAAGATTTGGTGATTCCACAATTGTTGTTTTCTAAATGACTTGAATAGCATCCACTTGGCAGCTCCACTTGGGCCACACTAGTCCTTTAATATGTGAGCACTGATCATGTCCTTCAGGTTAAAGTAACAAGATTTATAAAACATACTTCTTCCAAGGAAATTAATAATTAAGGTATCAAAATCAACAGAAATTAATATTTTAAAAAATTTACACCTGAATTTGATAGGGATAAATGATGAATCTTATGCATTGGCCCAGGAAAAAAAATTCACAAATATAAGATAGATAGGGGAAGTGCAGCTCAATAGCAATCCATTTGAAAAAGATCTAGGTGGGTCTTTGATAAATTACAAACCAAAGAGGAGACCCAAATGTGACATGGTAGCCAAAGAAAAGCTGATGCAAGGGCAGAGACAAGACGATAGAGTAAAAGCAGTGACTTGCTTGAGCTCTCCCCCAAACCCCTCCAAATACCTGTAAAAATGGATCTAAACAAATTCTAGAGCAGTAGAACCCAAAAAATATGGAGTGAAACAAATTTCCAGCCCAAGACAACCTGGATGGTTGATTCGAAAGGTCTATTGCACAGGGCTGGGAGAGGAGCGCAGTTCAGCATGGGCCACGCACACAGGCAGGCCTCAGTGAACCTGGAGCAAGCCTCAGGGGACTGAATCATGGGCAGCTGTGGTGGTTTCCAGACTTCTCAACCCACAAATGCCAAAGATAACTTAGAAGGTCAGTAGGAGAGGTCTGATGGGCTGCGGTGAGAGAGGAGCTTGGTCTGGCATCAGGGCTGAGGGCAGCCCTGGGTGGCAGCTACTTCTAGAGCTCTCGGCCCACAGACAGAGGGGGGGGATCAAGTGACTGATCAGAGGGGGGTTGCAGAGATCTCTTTGCTGGTGCTGAGGCAAGATTCTCTAGCTTTGCCTGTGCTTGGATCTGGGCTGCACCTCTGGGTGGCGGTCCTGGGGTGAGGAGGAGCATTGGCATGGTGGAGCTTGTAGTGGCAGTGGAGAGGGAATCCTCCTCACAGTTACAAGGTAGAAAAGAGTGCTTGTGGTCACTCATAGACCAGAGCCCAGGCCAGGAAAGGAGTAACACCTCACCTTTGATCATACCACCTTGAAAAAACTGAAAATTTACAGGTCCCCAGAATTATCTACAGCTGCACAAAACCCCCAAAGCTTGGGACAGTACATTCTCCACACTGGAAGCAGACTCCTACCTTAACAAAAAGTTTAAAAGTCAAATAATTGGCTGGGATCATGAGCAAACAGGGCAAAAAAAGTCAGACCATAGAATCTTACTTTGGTGACAAAGAAGATCAAAACATACAACCAGAAGAAGACAACAAAGTCAAAGCTCCTACATCCAAAGCCTCCAAGAAAAATGTAAGAGAAAATAAGAAGGAGAAAATTCCCAGGTCATGGAAGAGCTCAAAAAGGATTTTGAGAAGCAAGTAAGAGAAGTAGAGGAAAAACTGGGATGAGAAATGAGAGTGATGCAAGAAAATCATGAAAAACAAGACAACAGCTTGCTAAAGGAGACCCCAAAAAAATACTGAAGAAAGTAATACCTTAAAAAACAGCTTAACCCAAAAAGCAAAAGAGGTCCAAAAAGCCAATGAGGAGAAGAATGCCTTAGAAAGAAGTATTGGCCAAATGGAAAAGGAA